ACCTGGACTCCCCAGCAGGCCCTCCCTGCCCTGCTCTGCACACACCTGGTCAGTATTTTCGGTGTCTCAGGGTGAGGGGAGCAACTCAGGAGATTTGTTCTGAGGGTCAAGGGGACCGTCCTTGTGACAAGGCCCAGGGCAACCCACAGGACACTCAGTGCTTCTCTCAGGCGCAGAATTCCAAGGGCTCCAAAAGTCTTTCAAGACAAGCAAGTCCCCACCCCCGCCCCCACCACTCTTTGAGACAAGCCATGAAAGGTCTCGTGGTGGGCACCATACCTTTCCTTGTGTACAGGTGGCCTTGCCTCTGCCCACGAGCCCTGAGGGATTGTCTGCAGGACAGACCACTGGGGCAGCGGTCACGAGGCCTGCCTGGCTGGGGTGGGGGTTCTGGGCAGGCGGGGGTGCTGAGCCCACCCTGCAGGTCCGGGAGCACCCCCATAGGCTCTCTGCAGCCTTGCCCACTGCGAACAAACCCCCAGGGGCCCACCTGGCCAATCATCTCTCAGCGCCCTTTGTTCAGTTGGCCTCAGCGCCCTGTTGGTGGGGGTGGTGACGAGAAAGCAGGTCGGAAGGAGGGACGGACAGCATTTCCCCTGAGGCCAAGCGGACCCTGGGAAGGCTTCGCTGGGGAGGAACTGACCGCCAGTTCCCGCGGAGCCAGAGCACGGGACTCCTGGAGGTCGCCCAGGACTCCTCCCTGCAGATACAGAAGACAGGGCGGTGAAGGGGGCACCCAGTGCAGACAGCACTGGTATAGACAGCTCCGGGTATGTGACTGCGCTGGAGAAGGAGAGGTCGGGGCCAACGGATGCCCAAGGGGGTGTTTAAGGCCAGGCCCGGTCACCAGGACCAGTGACCCCAAAGACCCCCCTCAGCCTGTGGGCAGTGAGGGGAGAGCCCCCTGCTGATTTATGGTGGACAGGGGTTAGGCTGCTGAGGCCTTGCTCCCTCCTGCCTCCTCCTCCTCCCGGCTGGGGGTCAGCTGGGCTAGGGTGGCTCTCAGCTGGTTTCCAGATGGGCCTGGCGGAGGGGCACCTGGGGGTGGAGAGCCAGACACCCTGAGCAAAGGGGCCTGGACAGCCATAGTTGCCTTTGTCTCTCTCCGTGGTTGTCTCTCCCTCTCGAGGCCTGTCTCTGTCTCAGGCTCCATCTCTGTCCGATGCAGTCCCCCTCCCCACGACCGCCTGGGTGGGTAGGGGTGGGAGCTGGTGATTTATCACCCACTGCCTGTCTTCCATCGGAAACGCCAGGGGTGGGCGCAGACTGAGCAGTGAGCTATGGGCCCCCAGGGCTCCACCACCCACCCCAATGTTGTTGCTCTGTCTGGTCGGCGGGTGCACCCCCCACCACCACGACGTGGCCAGGGGTTCAGTCCCCGGACCTTCCCAGGGCCTCCTCCACAGGCCTTGCTCAAGTCTCCGCCCAGCGAGTGGCCAGCCCCCTCCCCGGGCTCCCCCTGGCCTCCCCAGGCTGGAGGAGGACTTCGGAGGACCCTCACATCCCTTCCCCCACCACCAGGTTGGTCGGGAAGTGGCGGGGCCTCTGTTCCACTACTCTGGGGAGCCCGCTCCAGGCCTCCAACCCGGCGGGCTTCCGAGACAGAAGGGCTGAGGGGAACCCCTCACTGTCGCCTCCTCGCTGGCCTGGCAGCCTCTTTGCCCCACCCCCTCCTCGGTGCACACAGCAGGGGCTCAATAAGTGTTTTCGGAGCAAACAGGCGTCGGGAGGGCTGAGGGCACACCTGGGCTGACCCCCGCCCCCTCACCCCCCACCCCCGCGCCCCGACCCGGCGGAAGAGGTCCCTTATCTTCCCGGTTGATGGGCTGTCAGCAAGCGGGGCGGGAGGCGGGGAGGTGGGGGGCCGGGAAAGGGGGGGGAGGTAAGAGGAAAGGGGCGGAGGGGGGTGCGTACCCCTCCCCGCTCCCATGGGGTGTGCCACCTGCCCGCCCCTCTTGGCGATCCACCGCCCACCAGCCTGGGCAAGTTCTCCGTCTCTTAGTCTCTGTTTTTCCTTGGACCCTGGCTGTCTCTGCACCCAGCACCCACCTTGCCGCCTGCCTGCTTTTCTGCAGACCGCGAGCGCCCTCTGGTGCCGAGCCGCGGGCGCCTGCTCGGGATCGCGGCGCTCTAAGGGAGGACTGAAAGGCGGGGGGTGGGACAGCACCCACCCATTTCAGGAATGAGGACACCAGAGGCTCTCGCGTTAGACCGCGGCTGTGTCTGCCCCGAGAATGCCATCTGTCCCTTCGGGGGCTCGCTCTATCCAACTCTTTGGCCCGCCACTCACTAGCTGGCTGCATGCAAGTCTGGGATGTGGTTTGAACCCCTGGCAGGCCTCAGGGGCACCCTCCAGGATCCAGTGTCCTGCGCCATGTGTCTGGCCAGGGCAGGGCTGGAAAGCTCTCTGCGGAGGACATTCTTGAGTGGGGTCTTGAATAGTGAGGACATAGTTATAGCAGGAAGGGACAAAGAAAGGTTCTGAGACACTGGTCTAGTGGGGCAGGGTATACAGAGGATGGGCCTTGGCGGAAGGCAGAGGGAGGCTGGGGGAACACAGGTTTGGTCAGAGCACCCTCGGGCTTCAGGGCAAAGCGCCTGCATCAGCCAGTCTGGGGGCTGGAGGTGTGAGAGGGCTGGGCGGGGCCTTTGAGTGGCCCCCGACCTGTTCCTATCCGGAAGGGGTCAGGCCACAGAGGGGACCAGCCTGTCCGTGGGAAAGGGGCCCTGGAATTGGTGTGTTTTCCCTGAGATGGAGGACAATGCTGGGGTGAGGGGCACGGTAAGCCCCCTGGTCTGGGAGGAGGGGTCTGTGCTCTCCCTCCCTGAACAGGGCCATTCAGGGGCGCTGAGCTGGGACCATTCACTTCCCCGCACTCCTTGGAGGCTGAGGCCCCAGGGTCAGTGCATAGAGGGTCAGCTCAGGGTCAGGATAGGGACCAGGGGGCTCCCAGGCAGCCTGGAGAGGGCCAGCGGTTGAGGCGAGGCCAGGCCAGGCAAGGGTCTCCTATGGTCAGTGCCTCGGCGGCAGCAGGTCTAAATCATGGAGAACTGGCAAGGGGGCGGGGAATTTCTCAGGTCCCACCACACCACATTGTCAGCCTCTTGCTTCCGTCCCGCCCCTCAGCGCCCCCATGCCCACCCTTGCACCTGGGCACTAGCCCAGGAGCCCTGAAGCCCATGGGCAGAGGAGCAGGGCTCCTGCTGACCGCCCCCCACAGCTCCTGCTGGGGCCTCGCCCCGCCACGCAGGGAGCCTCCTTCCCTTAGCTGGGGTCACTGAGGAACCCCAGGGCTACTTTCTCCTGGGCCCTGCATTTGTCCCCTTGAGGATCTCAGTAAGAAGGAGAGACTGGGTCCCCAGGGCCTGGTCTCAGCTGCGGAGGAAGCTCTGGGCCCAGCAGGAGACCCATCTTGGGACCTGGTTTCCTGTGGAAAGTCAGGGGGCTGCCTTCCTTCACCACATTGGGACTGACGTAGGAAGTTGCCTGTATACCTTGCTGTGACAACAACCATCACCTCTGACCCCACTAGAGGCTCTGGGGGTGTGGGGCCACCCCCAGGGAAGGCAGGGTGGCAGTTCATTTGTACAAAGGGGCCACCGTCTCCGATGGGGTGATAAGCCTGGAAGGACGGCCGGATGCCTCGCACCTGCCTACAAAGGCAGGGGTGGCTCCTGCCTCACGTCCCACCAGTAGCCCCGAGATAGCATCAGCCCAACCGGAGGGTCATCCGTCTTGTCCTACAAAGGCCAGGACAAAGGCCATGTCAGCGGCAGCCTCCCCGACCCGGTCACTGGAGGCCTGGGCCTTCCTGTGCCAGGCGACTAAGGCCCAGGTCTGAGGCTCAGGCCTGAGGCTCCACTGGGGTCCACGGAGAGCAGCCGTCATCGCTGGCAGGGCCGACCAGGTGGAGGCCACACCTGGGCGGGAGTGGAGACGCATCAGCTCCTCACCTGGGCCCCCAGGCCCCTGCCAGCAGCTCGTGTTGCGCTGAGGCGCCCACAGCGGAGCCCCGGCCCTGCCTGACGGCCGACCTCAGGCCCGAGCAGCCCGGGCCAGTCTGTGTGGTCGGAGGCACCCTCCTGCAGTGCGCGGTGGCATAGGGAAGTCATGATTCCAGAGACCCTGCAACCCCTGGTGCCCGTCCCCGCTGCAGGCGCCTCCCATGGACCCCTCATGTGGCTCCCCACCCTCCAGAGCTTCTCACTAGATGTCCAGGCCGTTCCGCATTGGCCGCCAGACTGTCCTCACCACCCCCAGTGCACCCCTAGCTGCTCTGAAGGCTGCCACTAGGGAAACCTCACACACTGAACTGTCCCCAGAGCCACCTCATGGCCCCACTGACCCCAGAAACTGCCACTCAGGGCATCTTCCCTCTCTCACAGCACTGCCCTGCAGTGTCCCCACAGTCCTCACTGTCCCCAGTGTCCTTGCTGTTCCCATGTTCTCACTGCCCCACAGCGTCCTCTGTCCCCCGTGTTTGCAGTCCCCACCATGTTCTAGCTGTGTGCACAGTGTCCTCATTACCCAACAGGGTCCTCGCTGCCCACAGTCCTCCTTTTTTACAGTGTCCTCACTGTCCAGGTTGTCCGCACTTGTCCCCAGTGTCCCCTGTCCCGACAGCATTCTCACTCTCTAGTGTCCTCCTCCTCACTGTTCTCACTGTCCTCCAAGTGTTCTCACTGCCCGTGTCCTCGTTCCCAGTCTCCTCACTGCCCAGTGTCCTCAATGTCCCATGTCTAACTCCCCACTGTGTCCTCGCTGCCTCCAGTGTCCTCTGTTTACATGTCCAAACTCCCCAGTGTCCTCACTACCCTACAGTGTGTCATTGTCCTTTGTGTTTTCCTTCCCACTTGAACTTCTTTGAGAGTCCGTGGCTGGGGAAAGATTTGGGGCATATGATGGTGTGAGTGTCCCCTTGAACTGTTTCTCAGAGCTTTTTCTGCAGTTTAGGGAAGAGGGTTTCCAGGCCTTTGGTGTAAAAATGGGTCAGGTTGGGGAAGGGTTTATTCTGCACTGGAGTTTGGCACGAGGGGCCTCACAGGGTCTGGGCTGCTGTTGGTCCCCTGGATCTGCCTAAGCATCCAGGGTGTGGGCTTGCCGCGATCGTGGTGGGCTTGCAGCATCTGGGCCTCTGAGGACCAGGACCTGCAGGGGGTGGCGGGCCTGGGAAATGGTGCCTGAGTGGAAGAGAACGGATCCGGGTTCGGGCGAGGGCTCCTTGGGCCAGGGTCCTGTGGGGCTGGCAGGCCCACCTTGCTCAGCGCCAGTCCGCTCCTCTCAGGACTCGCTGTCTCCAGCTGGCTCCGCCACCAGCGGGGCGGTCAGCGACCGGCGATGCGTGGCGCGAGCGCGCAGCCTCCGCAGGCGGCACAGCAGCAGCACCAGCAGCAGCGCGTGCAGCAGCCCGAGGCCGAGCAGCACCAGCTGTGCCGCCAGCGACGCCTGGCAGAGTACGCCAGGCGGGCAGGCGGCACGAAGCTCTTCCTCGGTCAGGTAGGGCAGTAGGCGGCCGCGCAGCGATGGGGGCGCGGCGCACCGCAGGTCACGATAGAGCACGCGTTCCGGACGACCAGCCAGCCAGGCCCGCAGTGGCACCAGGCGGCAGTCGCAGCGCCAGGGGTTGGAGCCCAGGTGCGCCGCGCGCAGCATGGGCAGCCTGTCCAGCAGCCCCAGTGGCAGCGCTGTCAGGTTGTTGCCCGTCAGCACCAGTTCGGTTGTGTCCGGTGGGAAAGAGGCCGGCAGCGAGGCCCACGTCAGCCCGCGGCGCCCGCAGTCCACGCGGGTCCCGGCGCAGTGACATGGCGCGGGGCAACCTGCTGCCGAGCGGCTCGGTGGCGCGAGCAGCAGGAGCAATAGGCTGAGCGCCCCGCGCGGCCCTGGAAAGGAAGCGCCGCGATGAGCCCGGTGGCCTGATGGGCACCTGGGTGGGGTCCCTCACCACCCGGAGCGCCAAGCCTGACTCCAGCTCCGGAGCCCCGCGTCCCGCATTGCCCACAAACCTCGCCACCCGACCACCCCGCGCGCTGGCTGGAAGTTCCCTCTAAGTCTGACCCAAATATTTCCCTACTGCAGCCAAAACGACTGGAGCGCCTCCCAACCTAACTCTGCTCAGGGAGTGGCCTCGCCCAGCCACCAGACTCACCAGAGCCCATGGCGAGAGGATGGTGGGGCTCCTTGCTCTGGAGCTGGAAGCGTTTGTCGCAGAACCAGATGATAAGGCCGCCCCGCCCCTGCCAGGCCCTGGCGATCCCGGTACACCGACCACAGCACAGCCGTCCGGCCAGAAATAACCCCGAGGCTGCCCCGACAGGCGTTGCGGCCGCTGATAGAGTGCTATCACCAGGCCCAAAGCAATAGTGCTTCCGCCCCCCGCCCCCCTCGCTCCCAGGGGCGTAAGGAGCACTCGGACACCCTCAGCAACGTTCACCAACATTGTTCTCCTGTCACCAGGACAGGATGGCATTCACAACTTAACAAAACTGGAGAATGGGGCTTGGGAAAGGGTTCATGCGGGTCGAGGGACTAGGAGGGGGGCTAGGGAACCCAGGGCAACAAGGCTGCTGGGGAGAAGGGACCCCCAGCCACAGGCAGGGAACAGCAGTCTAGGTGTGGGGATTGCCAGAGGAGAGCCCACAGCCCCCTGCTTCTGCAGCCCTCCAAACCGCAGCTGTGGGAGAGGGGCGTGGGCGATCACGGGCATCCCAGCCCCACGCCAGCCTCGCCTGCAGCGGGCTGGCCTCCTTGGGTCTGGGGAGATCCTAAGAGCCTCGGCAGCCTCGCCTGCCTGCTGAGCTACGGGATGAGACAGGACCTGGCCCACACCCATGTAAACTGAGGTCTCGGCATGTGCTGGGTGGCCCAGGGGAGCCGGGGAACACAGCTCCCAGTCTGTGCCGTGGCACCGGGTGGAGTAGGTTGGAGACCCCAGGGATCTGCTCCCCTATTCTGCCTTGGTTTACCTGCCTGCCTGAGTAGGGCCTGGAGTCTGAGTGCTGTGACTTTCTGGGGTGGGGGGAAAATCTCAAAAGTCACAGTCCACCCTAGCTCCTGCTCCCCCAAAGCCAAAGGGGGGGCATGTTGCCCAGGCCCCATGGAAACAGATACAAATGAAGGGAAGGGCTGATGCTGAGAATAAATTAGGGTTGGCTGGAGGCTGTGACCCCATGTCTTCCGCAGGACAGGGACAGTCCAGGTCTAGGTCACTCTGGGATTGGGGGTGCAACCAGGCCTGTTAGAGATCCTGATGAAAAGGGTCGAGTCCAGGCCAGTTGGGGTCCAGGGGTGGGAAGGGCCAGTCGGCAGTGTATCCATGGCAATGAGGAGCTGCGGCAGGGTCACTGGTCCTGCATTTGCTGCTTCATCTTCTGCAGCATCTCCTGCATGCGCCTTAGCTGGGGAGTGGGGCAGGGAAAACGGGAGGTGGGATGAGAGGTGAGAGGGAGGGTCCCGGCTCATCTCCAGCCTCCAGCCTCTACTACTTCCCACCCCATGCCTCACCAACCTCCTCATCCTTCATCCTGATGAGCTTCTCCGTCTCAGCGTCGGGGGTGGGCAGTGGCAGGATGGGGATGGGGCTCTCCATGCGGTTGTCCTGGGTCAGTTTGCTGCAGGATGGACAAGAGGGACAGTGCTGCTGGGAGGTTCAGCCAACTGCGCTGCTACCAGGGCTGCCCTTCTGAGCTCCCACACCTCTGGGCTGGTCTGGGGAGACAGGGTGCTGGGGAGCCGATTTAGGGGCTGGGGCAAGGTTCAAGTCTAGGCGGCCAGCCAGGACAAGTCTTGATCATAGCAATGTGTCTGAGGCCACAAGGTGCACGTCCGAGTTTGGGGTGGGATGATGCACCTGGTCATCTGCTGGATGCAGTGTGCACGGTAGTTCTCATAGTGCACGTCACATGTCACATCCTTGAGGTCATGCATGTGCGTACGGATGAGCATGTTGCGCAGCTTCACGAAGTCGCAGTGCGCCTGGTTCTCCACTGTGGGGCAGGAGTGGGCAGTGGGTGGGGCGTCAGCACAGGGGAGCCTTCCCACCCCGCACGCTGTGCCCTATGCTTGGACTCACCTTCCACGATCCCCCACGGGTACAGCCGGCCCCGGACTCGCTGCCCCTTGGCTTCGACCACCGTGTTGCTACCGATAACCGCGAAGGGTGCGCTTTCCTGGGGAGGGGCAGGTGCGAGGGCTCACGCCCAATTAGTACGGGGGCCAGGTTGTGGCTGGAGAGGAGCAGGGGCACCCAGGGCCTAGCCAGCCCCTCCAGCATCACCATCAATGACCTCTCTCCAAGAGATCCCAGTGTCACCCCCCACCCATCCCCCCTCCATGGCCTCTGCTGCTGGCTGAGGCCAGAGCTGGTGCAGCAAATATCTTAAGGCCTATGACCAAGCTTATTTGCCTCCTAGTAATGCCCCTGCTGAATTTGACTGGGCTCAAGGGCCTGCCTGACCCTGTTCCTGGCCTTGTGACCACCTGTCTCCAGCTTGGGCTCAGTCATAACCACTCTAGCTGCTGGGGCACTCAAAGCCACCCCCACCCTCTGTTGCACAGAATTCTGGGAGCCAGTGCATACTTAGCCCAGCGGCCGCTGGTGGGGCCCTTTTGCTGGTGACTCACGAGGAGACTGAGGAGCAGGATCGGGGTGGGTGCCTAGCCAGGGGCTTTGCCTTTAGGTCCTGGAAAGACCTCCATGAATCACTAATCATGAAGGACCCAAATATACAAGCCAGGCAGGAACCTGGGCGACCCTAGCCCTCTAGGGCTAGCTGAAGGGATTCTGCTGCCTACACCAAAGACCCCCGCAAGTTGGACCTGGGCACTCGGCCCACCTCTGCCTGCATGCTCACCTTCAGCTCCCGATCCTGCTGCTTGAAGTCCTCGTCCTCGTCTGAGTCACACTCAGGGAACTGGTACACATGGATCCCAAACTTGTCAATCTCCTCGCGGATCTGTGGTGGGGCGAGGCTGTCAGATTAAGGTCCCTGGGGCCTGGTGTGGTGGCGCCCAGGGTCACCGCACCTGGTGCTCTCAGCCCAAGTCCCAGGCCAGGCCTCACCACCAAACAGGCTCACCCGCTCCTTCAGCTTCCGGATCTCACTGGGGACCAGGCAGTCGGCTTTGGCAATGAGGGGCACAATGTTCACCTTCTCGTGTAGAGCCTTCATGAAACCCACATCCACTGGCCGCAGCCTGCAGGGGGCGCCCAGGGTGATCAGGGGCTGGTGGGGATGATGGAGGGGGAGGGCGGGGTGGAGGGGGCTGAGGGAGGGGATGGCTGTGGGGGCTCGGCCCCCAGAGTCACGCACCCGTGCCCGAAAGGAGAGATGAAGTACAGGCAGCAATGCACCCGGTTGTCTTGGATGTTCTTGCGGTTGAGGCCGCTCTCGTCACGGAAATACTGCTCAAACTGCTGGTCCACGTAGTCAGTAATGGGCTTCCAGCTGCGGGCAGGAGGCGCATGAGGCCGGGCTGTGAGCACAGCATGCTGGCCCCAGGGGGTGCGGAGTCAGCCCAGCAGGGACTATTACCCAGTCAGGCCCTCCTCACCATTCAGAATTGTTTACAGCATCCCCAAAGCCCGGCGTGTCCACGATGGTGAGTTTTAGCTTGACGCCCTTCTCCTCGATGTCCACCGTGTGCTTCAGGATCTCCACCGTCTGGCTGATGCGCTCTGCAGGGAAGGAGATACGGCTTGAAGGGGACTCTGTGACCCCTCATCCCCTACCTCAGGCAGCTGGGATCCTATTCTCATCCAGCCCCGTGTTCTGGCCCTGACCACGAGGCCTGACTGTGGTTTGGGCCACTCCTCCTGGACCCTGAACAGAAGACCCATGTTGTGTGGAGAGAGAGGTGGGGCTGGATCTGGAAGGGCACTCTTTGAAGGATCACACAAGAGGGGATGGTGAACCAGTGCCAGGGCAGCTTGGGGTCCACTCACCTTCAGCACTGAGAAGCTTCCGGTCCTTGTACAGGTCGGTTAGGAAGAGGCTGTGGACCAGTGTGGACTTCCCCAGGCCCGACTCACCTGCCCACAGGTACAGTGAAGGAGTCAGATTGGGCCTCAGGCCCCTACAACAGAGCCTGGCTGGCCAGTGGCCCCAGCCACCCCACCTGGGAGCCTGGCCCACTCACCAGCCACCATGAGCGTGAAATCGAAGCCCTTCTTCACCGACTTCCGGTGCACCTGGTTGGGCAGTGTGGCAAAGCCCACGTACTGCTTGTCGATATCCTGGGGGCAGGGGTGGGGCAGGTCAGAGGTACACTGGGACTCCTAGGCAGCCCCATGCCCTGTCCCCTATCCAGCTCAGGCAAGGCGGCAGCAGAGGACAGAGTCCCCAGGGTGGGGCATTTCAATGGCAGAAAGGGGGTGAAGGCTTGAAGGTGGGAAGGCAGGTCAGAGGGTGGCCGGTGAATGCACCCTTGCCCGCGCCTCGGAGAGGGGTTTTGGAGGGTCCCAAGGCTATGTCTGTGTGTGTGTGTGTGTGTGTGTGTGTAGGAGGAGATGTCCGGCTGCCGCAGACACAGGCAGTGTCCTCCTTTGAGTGGTGGTAGATGGAGGACACCGAACCCAAGACCCTTCCAACATGCCCCAGGTCCTTCATAGGAAGGAGAAGCCCAGACTCAACACTCACCCCTCCCAAGTGTACCCGGGGTGGGAGGCCCCTCGTGGCCCGGATCCAGCCGCGGGGGTGGCTGGCTGCAGCAACGTTGGCGCTGGGGCTATTTATAGATAGCAGCGCTGAGCCTCCCCCGCAGGCAGGTCCCGAGCCCACCCTCTGAGGACCCTGGCCCTGCCGGCCGCTGTCACATCCCAGAGCCCTGGGACCTGGCCCCAGCAGGCGCGCACACACTGACCCACATTCCACTCCCCTCTCCACACACACCTTGAGCCGCCTTTGGGCCTGAGTCCGCGGTGACAGCAGCTGCTCCACCAGGCGGTCCTGGGGCGCTGCCAGAGAGTCCATCGCAGCGACCCCCCACACACACACCCTGCTGGCGACTTCGGACCCCAGACTAGGTCAGGCCGACAGGGGCCCAGCGTTCTCGAGGGGCTCAGACACAGTAGTGCCTCGAAGGCCTGTTCTCGTTCCCGTTTCAGGGACACGGGAACTGAGTCCGGGAGACCGGACGTGGCCCACCCGGGGTGCCGCCGACTCCGGAGACCGCGGGAGCCATCCCTTTGCCTCTGCGGACCCGGACCCGCCCCGAGACGCGCGGCGTCGCAGCCACAGCCGGCCCCGCTCTGCACGCGAACCAGAGGCGGGGCTCCGCGCAGA